GATGAAAACCCACATAAGTGTATACACTCAGATCCAAGCTTAGGATCACTCCCCAGCTCTTTGTTCTCATAAGTCTTCTAGACAACCAGCTATGAGTCACCATCATTCTCACTTCTGCTTAGGGTCCCGATATCTCACCATCAAAAAAACAACAAAGCACACTCACAAGGCCACACACACTTACACACCATTTGACTAAATCAGCGTTGACCACACACACCAGTTAATTACGCAAGTAGGATGCAAATTATATTAGTATCTCCACTAATTGACTGGGTGTTAGATTGTTCAATTAACAAACCGCTTTACCAATTGACCATTTCAACCAGTTGCCCAAGGCTTCTGTCATTTTACAATATTTCACAATTTTTCTTTGCACTATGGCCAAGATAAACAAAGCTCTTAAAATACAATGCCACACAATATGCTTACAAAGCATATTCACCATTGGGACCTCCCCTAAAGGGATATTTGGTCAGATGAAAACCCACATAAGTGTATACACTCAGATCCAAGCTTAGGATCACTCCCCAGCTCTTTGTTCTCATAAGTCTTCTAGACAACCAGCTATGAGTCACCATCATTCTCACTTCTGCTTAGGGTCCCGATATCTCACCATCAAAAAAACAACAACAAAGCACACTCACAAGGCCACACACACTTACACACCATTTGACTAAATCAGCGTTGACCACACACACCAGTCTATTCACTATTAGATGTGGCCACACACACACCCTGAGCACCCAGACTGCCCTTGTTCCCGCCTGCACAAATATACCCTCACTCGCAACAACTGAAACACTTCATCACACATTCCCCTTGCCAGCGCTCCCAAACAATCCGTCACTCATATGTGTCATCGTTAAAGCCTTTCTGCCATTCATTAAGACCACCAAGCATTCCTATTCACAAACCCAACCTTGTCCTCCCCAATTCCCAGAATCCGCCAGAAAACACCGGAATGTCACAGGAATCGCATGCAAATGCTGTCCGAATTGAAACATCTCAGCGCACACACGCAGGATTCACTTATCTCATTTATTTGTGCAGGGCCTAGAAAGAGTAAACACAAATAAACAAATGGGACACAGTTGGCACGGGGAGAGCGGCGGCGGGGCTGGAGCTGGATCATCTCCTTCCTGAGAGACAATGAAGCTCTGCAATCATCCCTCAGTCCCATATCCATCTCCTCTCCTGTCTGAGACACAGAAATTAGGCCAGTTTGTGATCACTTAAACATTACCAAACTAGTTTTTGACATTTACTAAAAACAATCACACTTTTTTGCAAAGCATTTTGGTAGAGTATGTAATTGCATAGGCATTTACCTCAATAAACAGCAGTTTACACAGGTGTTTGCTCAATGCCATGGTGTTGTTATATGGTTACCAAGATGTTCTGAGTGGTTGCCATGTGGTTACTAAATTGTTCTAGGTGGTTACTAGGTAGGTGATTACTGTCCTAAGCCACAATAACTTTTTGTGTGTGTGAGAGCATATCTTCTATGGGAAAGTGTGTTTTTAGTATTATTTCTGTACTATTATAGTATTTATTCTTATTTTGAATTCATTTTTGTTTTTTGTGTTTATTTTATTAATTTGTGTTTTTGTAATATTGTAATTTGCAGTCATTTTGATTTATTTCATTTCATTTGCATTGTATTTTATTTATTTTTTCAGTTTTGTAATTTTAGTACTAAAATTTTATTTTAAATTTGTATTTCCATTAACGTAACAATTGTATTTAGTTTTTGTTAAGCCTGGTTGTGCCTCAGAGTAAAAATAAAACGACGACAACAACTATTTTTTAGATAAAAGTTCAAATAAGATCAAATAAAATAAGAGATGAAGTTTAAAATAAATTATGTGATATATAGGTACAAATGTAAGATGTTAAAGGGTTAGTTCACCCAAAAAATGATGTCTTTAATTACTCGCCCTCATGTCATTCTAAACCTGTAAGACCTCGGTTCATCTTTGGAACACAATTTAAGATATTTTTGATGGAATCTGACAGCTCTCTGACCCTCCCATAGACAGCAAGGGTCTTTACACGATCAAGGTCCAGAAACGTAGCAAGGAGATCGGTGAAATAATCCATGTGACATCAGGGGTTCAACCGTAATTTTATGAAGCTACGAGAATACTTTGAGCCCAAAAAAAAAAAAAAACACTTTATTCAACAATTCGTCTCCTCCGCGTCACCCTGTAGCACCATTTTAGAGAGTATCCACTGAATGTAAATTGCGTATGTTGTTCTATGTCAGCTGCGTCACACGGATATGTTGTTTTCGTTCAAATCAAAGCGTAAACGACATAAACAGTGTATCCATGTGATGCAGCTGACACAAAACAGCATATGCAATTTACGTTCAGTGGATACTCTCCAAAATGGCAGTAGGGTGATGCGGAGGAGACTAATTGTCGAATAAAGTCGTTTTTTTTTTTCTTTTGCACTCAAAACGTATTCTCGTAGTTTTGTAAAATTATGGTTGAACCCGATGTCACATGAATTATTTTACCGATGTCCTTGCTATGGGAGGGTCAGAGAGCTGTCAGATTCCATCAAAAATATCTTAATTTGTGTTCCGAAAATGAACGAAGGTCTTACGGGTTTGAAACAACATGAGGGTGAGTAATTAAAGACAATTTAAATTTTTGGGTGAACTATCCCTTTAAGTCACAGTTGCAGTTATCTCACATTTCGAGATATAGTATCAGATTGTGAGATACGAATAAGGCTGAAACTGTTAGATATAAAGTTGCAATTACCTTTTTAGGGTCAGACAGCTCTCAGATTCCATCAAAAATATCTTAATTTGTGTTCCGAAGATGAACAAAGGTCTTACGGGTTTGAAACAACATGAGGGTGAGTAATTAAAGACAATTAAAATTTTTGGGTGAACTATCCCTTTAAGTCACAGTTGCAGTTATCTCACATTTCGAGATATAGTATCAGATTGTGAGATACGAATAAGGCTGAAACTGTTAGATATAAAGTTGCAATTACCTTTTTATTTCTTCTACTCGGATGCAGAAACAGTCTTCCATACGTTACCCATCTCAAAGCATTAATGGCACAGGATAAGTAATGTGCTGAAGTTTATTACTTAGGTTAGAAGTTTAGAACTGTTAAGTACATAATAGCAGTGCTTGTTTTAACAAACGCTACAAGCAAAATTAACCTGAACTTGAAGAGTTAGAAGGGTGTGTTTTGTTCAAAGATCCGTGTAAAATTATTCTCGAAGTCATCTGTGAACAATTTTCAAGAAAACAAGCAAAAACACGCCCTAGACAGATCATTTCACATGGTTGCTACTTTAAGAAGCATTTGTGCTTTTTCAAAAGATAATATTCCTGATAATAAAGTTACAAAAGTATAGCTATTAAAACATTGGCCTTCAAAAGGTGTGAGAAAGTCAGAGTTCTGAAGCAATATCACATGAGACTCACCCCACAATCCTGTGGTGTTTTAAGAGACCCTCAGCAATTTCCTTCAAATATCACATTTAACACGAACCAGTGTGGGTCTGCTTCTACAGCCACCAGAGTAATTTGGGATTCTAGGGAATAAAAATGCTCATATTTCTGGAATTTTCATCATGTCCTGGAGTCTTGGATTATGCAAGATAAACCAAAAACTTGAAGCCACAAGCCATTCTTTATATACCTAAAACATAAACACACTTTTTGACCTCCAGATGAATGCAGTCTGCATGGAATGCATCATTCAGATTTATTCAAATGGACAAAAGTTAATTTGACAATATGATATAATCACAGACAAATGTACAAATACTGTAATAACAACACTTCTGTGCAAATAAATACCTATTAAAGTTAACATCTCTTATCAATAAAATGGACACATTCTTCATCTCCGATGAGTGCTTTGGTAAAAATTTTCCTTCCAAGCAATTTGGTAATAACTGTATCGTCTTTTTGGCAAGAACAAAAAACAAAGCAAAAAAACACAGGTTTCTTTGGATATACATGCTCATTGACACCTGTAAAAGCAGTTTACTCAGGTTTAGCATTTGTCCTCGGCCCTAACCTGACTGTTTGCATAGAAAAAGGCAAGTAGATGCCAACTAAACAGCGGTTTACGTGCTGCTTCCGGAGTTGAAAAGTTAATTGAAGCCTACGTTCTGTAGATAAGAACATAGGAGGTCTGTGGCGTGTCCTGTTTTACATTACAACATTTCATCTGGTCCTGGCCTGGTTCCTTCTGAACCAATCGAGTGTTGGGTTACAGCGCCTTTGCGCTCAGCACCCACCCGGATTGCAGGAACGAGTGGAAGTCCTTCGTGCCAAGTCTCTCCAATAACCCACCGTGTGACACAGAGAGGACCTTTGTGAAACGATCCCTTCCACTGATCAGTGAACACTGTTTAATTAACCTTTTCTCCTCTCCCTCCTCCCATATTTTTCCTAGGAGGGCAAAAGAGAAAAGCGTAATCTCTCCTTCCAACACGCCTATGGCCCCCCACACAAATACTCACACACATACACACACCTTTTCTTTCAATAATCACAGCGCAAGAATTTATTTTTTCCACCGCTCTATTATAACAGTTCAGAATTGCCCGTTGTTTAAAGACTGGACCGGAAATGGTCTTTCTAAGAGTGGAAGGTGGTCGGGGCTGCGTGACGGTGCTTGAGGGAAACGGTCGGGGGACATCCTGGCGACTGGGAGCCCAGACGAGCAGGAGTGAATGGGAACAATAGCCCTCCACCACCTCCCTGCCCCTAATCCAACTCCCGGGAATTACAGCGAGTAGGGAAAGAGAGCGTTTAGAACAGGCATGAAAAGAATCAAATGCCTTTAATAGGTCATAAACAACACAAATGCCAATGCGGGCATGCACTGGACTGGAGGGTGGAGGTTTTAAAATGCGTAGAGACAAAAAGTCGAGCAAGTATGCCAAGGAAGGGGACTGCAGTACTAGTTTAGCCCTTTCATTACAGGGAGGATCTCTTTCTAAGAGTGGAAGGTGGTCGGGGCTGCGTGACGGTGCTTGAGGGAAACGGTCGGGGGACATCCTGGCGACTGGGAGCCCAGACGAGCAGGAGTGAATGGGAACAATAGCCCTCCACCACCTCCCTGCCCCTAATCCAACTCCCGGGAATTACAGCGAGTAGGGAAAGAGAGCGTTTAGAACAGGCATGAAAAGAATCAAATGCCTTTAATAGGTCATAAACAACCCAAATGCCAATGCGGGCATGCACTGGACTGGAGGGTGGAGGTTTTAAAATGCGTAGAGACAAAAAGTCGAGCAAGTATGCCAAGGAAGGGGACTGCAGTACTAGTTTAGCCCTTTCATTACAGGGAGGATCTTGTTATGTCATGATTGGGTCCTCACGGACAAACAAGGGAGTTGCCTGGAGATGCTTCGCTGAGGTTGTCTGAGGATGACAGCGTGGTTACATGAGAAAGATAGTGAGGGTGATGGATGAAGGAATGGAGGGGCCCAGGTGCCCAATATGAGCATAAAGATGTCAGGGGAAATGTAAGGAGTCCCAATTGTAATGACATGAGAGAATGCCACAACACACCCAGCAAGTGAACCGGGCCAAGAATCAATCAGATGGCGCACAATGTCCATAATGAACAGTCTGTGAGATAGTGCCACCTGGTGGTCCCACGCGGGAACTGCAGCTTGGTTCACTTGGGAAGCTGAGTGGAAATTGGTTGTTTAGCAGCCACTACAAACTTTTTGGAAATCATATGCCACTGGTAAGACCAAATAGCTTGTTGTAATGGCAGAAAGACATAACTATTGAAGGCATATTTCATACCAAAAAGAAAATCCTGACATTGGTTTTCTCACCCTCGTGTTGTTCCAAAACTTTATAGACTTTTTATTCTTCTGCAGAACACAAAAGAACAGATTGTGAAGAATGTTGGTAACCAAACAGTTTGTTACTATTGGTTTTCACTGTAATCGACAAAAAAAACACTAAGACTCTCTCACAAAATGCCTTATTTTAGGTTTCACAGAAGAAAAAAAGAATCATACAGGTTTGGAACGAAGGGTGAGTAAATTACAGAATTTTTGCATGAACCATTCCTTAAAGGCACCTTCCACAATAAAAATCAACATTGGCTTCTGTCCGGTTGAAGTCATATATAAACACTTCAAGAGTGGCATGTTATCTTCAAAACTTCCTTCTCAAAGTCTTTAAAGTGAGAAATAGAGGAACGGCACTACTGACGGCGTTTTGCTAGTATGCATAAATGAGAAAAAAGTAAGTGCGTCTGTATGACTTCTCAACATGATACACCAAATCTCACTGCACTTCTACAAAAGGCGGCACATCTTCCCACAGGGATCGCTCGACACGCGCAGGTTCAGACAAGACACCCTTAACGCACGTTCCCCAGATCATCTCAGGAATGTTCTCACCCTTCTGAAGTTCCTCTCGAGGTCAAACGTCACTCTGGGGATGGAAATCCTGCTAAAAAAAATAGCTTAAGCTACTCTTTGTTGGCTGGTCTCAGTCAGTTGGTCTACCAGCCTGATAAATACCCAAAACTCCCCAAAACCAACAACCCAGACCAGCCTGAGACTAGCAACCATGTAAAGCTAGTTCAAGCTACTTTTAGTAGAGTAAAGCACCATAAACGAATAAAGAACACACAAAGTCATCGTCAATCTCCAAATTTAAATATACGTGCAGGCAGGAAAAGCATTTGGGCCACATGCAGCAAGTCCTGATGGCAACAATTCAGATCAGGTCTTATATGAGGTGTGAGAGGACAGCATTTTTCACATTACTGTCTCTGTAGCCTCTGGACAGGCTAAACAGCTCCTGTCTGAACATGTCCAGTTCTGGAGCTGCAAAAAGCTGCCTTAGGCTACTCTCAGACCACTCTATAATAGCAACAACTCAGTGACACACACAGTCCTACCACTGTCATCATCATCGCAGGATGATTCTCTGTCTGTCTGTCTGTGTGTCTGTCTCTGTCTGTGTGTGTGTGTGTAGGAGTGAGTTTATCCTGTCCATTCAGTCTTGAGAGTATTTTAGTTGAAGAGGATTGATTCCGGGTCTCTGTTGGCCATCTGCGCCATGTGTTTAAGAATGTCCTTTTTAGTGATGATTCCCAGCAAACGCCTGAATGAGTGACAGAAAAGAGAGGGAGAAAAAGGATTCTTGTTTGTAATTAATACAGATCATTGATCTGTCAAGACACACAAATTAAACAGACAATTATTGAGCAGATAGTCCTAGTTAGCATACGCATGAGAGAGACTATGTTTGCATAAAGATTCAAGGCCACATGTTCTAAGTGTGTGCGTGTGTGTTTCCAGTCTTCTCTCTTTTTATATTATGTTATTTACTTTTATTGTCCTAGATAGACTTGAAGGGTGGATCACAGGGATTGAGAAAGAAACAGCCACATTGATCCACTCAACATTTGGACCAGATTAAAACACACTTTAAAAGGAAAAAACAACTCCAGCAAGAATCAGCTTCAGCTGTTTTGAGCAAATATAATAGTGAGCACTCTTATGAGAAAGGACATGTGTGGAAACAATTTTTTTTACAGAAACTAGGACTATAGAAATATAATAATAATAGTAATACTAAAATACAACTACACTTGACATTACTATAAAAGTTATATTCATTATAAAAATGTACAAGATCTTATACATTTCCACAATTTCCAGTTCTAAAAATCACACTTTTCGCAAGCTATTCTATTCTATTCCTAATTGATTGTGAAGCGGTCTCAGATTTTGTCCAAATCTGTATCTTAGAAGGTTACATAGTGCTGCCACATGTTGCCTTTAATGCTTGGTAGATCACTAGGTTTTGAAACAGAGCTAACATGTAACTTTAGAGGTGAGATTAAAATCTTTCAGTCAGACCTGCGTTCATACAGCTATAAATGAGACATGATCACTAAAATGCGGTTTATTTCTCCTTGGCCCAGTCGAATATAGCTAAAAAAAAATATTACAGCTTCATTCTGCTTCTCATGGGAGAAAACCATTATCTGCTACACTTGTATCTCATCTACTGCTTTAAAGAGACCACACAGTTATACAAATCATCCATGTAGACAGACTCACCCGTTCCGAATGACGAGGCACTGCCGCAGGCCAAGCTTGCGGAAAATGTCCACCACGATTTCCATGGGCGTGTGCACAGTGACCGTAAAGGGGCTGAGGTCCAAGATGCTGTGCAGTTTGACTGCAGGAGGAGCGCTGGGTGACGCGGGTGATTCACATTCAGTGAACAGGACGGCAGACACGCTGACCACACCATCCTGATGCCGCCGTGCATTTTCTAAGATGATTGAGTGGAAAAAACACAGGGATATTAGCTGGATAAACTCAACACTAATCCATCAATTACAACAAGGGTTAATTAGCCAAACTTCTGTGGCAGCCCATGGACCGTTCAGAAACCATCATATTGCACACAAAACTGGCAGGAACTGCTTCCAATCTGATTGGCTGACCGCACTAAAATGTCTTGGATTCAGGGCACACCTGTTTTTAATCAGTCATCCAGGAAACAAAGTTGCACTTACAAGGCGCCAGGCTGACAAAATCTCTGCGGTATCAGCTCTTCGACTGATAATCAAGGGTTTGGTTTGAGACATTTTAGTAGCAAGAAAAAAAAAAACTGCTTTCAGTCTGTGATCGGTTGCTTTAGTCAGTTGGCTGGTTTAGACTCCTACTGATGTCATGATGGCAACTTGATGACATGATGAAGACATGAAGCAACTTTTAAAAGAGAGCAATATACAACCTAGAAATATTGTAAAAAAAAAAAATTTTTTTTATTTTTTTTTAATCATACCCTAAAAGATACTGCAGCACTGTTTCCTCAAAAATGTTAAGCAGCACAACAGTTTTAAACACTGATGAAAATATTAGTTTCTTTCAAAGAACTGACCCTAACCTTTTGAATGGAAGTGTGTGTTTGTGTGTATTTATATATGCTTCTTATAGGGTTTCCTTTACAGTGTGTGTGTGTATTGTAATATATATATATATATATATATATATATATATATATATATTACATGTGTGTATGCATGTATGTATGCATGTATCCAGCCATGGAACATGAAAAATAGCGACATTTATCGAAGAAGATACAAGAAACATTGTCCCCATAGATACATATACATGGAGCGGTCAAATGAGGAATCTACCTATACAAGCACGTAGACGCGTCCGCCATCTTGGTCAATATGTCACCACTCAATAAAAATCAACAAGTTTAAAGTTGCAACAACAACATTGCACAGCATCTGGTTGTAAAAACCGCCTAAATTTAAATTCCTGAAGAAACTGGATAAACTTTCACAGGTAAAATTGTGTTGGTATGTGTTTTTAAAATCTATTAACTCAAAAATTACAGGTTTTTAAACTAAAGTACCTTTTTAATGCCTTGTTAGCTAACGGCTTAGTCTTGTTGTATTGTGTTAGTTTGGCAAAAGCATCTTCTGAAGTCTACTGAAGATATATATTGTTCATGCGTACAACTACAGTTACAGTGCAGATGCACCAGCAACTTGCTCTCCAGTGTTCACGAACCGGCGGTGACATTCCAATATGGTGGACAACTTGCGTATAGCGGCCAATAGAAACAGTCGCTAATGAGGAATCTACCTATACATATCTATGTCGGTCCCCTTCAAAGTAGGCACCTTGGGACCTCACACAATTCTCCTAGCGTCTCTTCCACTGTTCAAAACAGACTGCAAAATCCTTTGTCGTAAACGCCATCAGCTGCCTCGTCTTACTTTCCTGAATCTCATCGACGGTCTGAACTCTCTTCCCTTTCAAAGGTGTATTTAGCTTTTGGAAAAGCATCCTATTACATCTCTCATCTCGTATTTTTCATATTACATGGCTGGATACTTTCCGGACAGCCCTCGTATATATACGTATTGCCACACACACACTTTGTTTTCTTTGACTTAGAAAACCCTGTAACTAGCGTAAATATGTGAAGCAACCAATAAAAAGACACTCACCTAAGGATATGAACAGATCCCTCCTCAACACAAAGCCCACCAATCTCTGAGACTGCTGTGAGATAACCACAGGAAAGCCGCTGTAGGTGGTATCTGAGATGAGTCTCTCCACCTCCTCTACGGTCATTCCGCTCTGCGTCAGCACAGACAGCGGTGGGTCGCTCCGCCGCGGCCGCATTACATCCGTAGCAAGAGTCTTGTGGCGGAATTCTTCTTTGGCCTCCAGGAAAGGGTAACCATTGAGGCGGATGTGGGCTTCATAGATGCTCTCGCGACTCAGAGCATCAGCGACCCATTTGCTGGTCATGGCAGCAGCCATGAGGGGCACAATGTACTCTAAACCTCCTGTCAGCTCAAACATAATGACCACCAAAGAGACTGTCATACGGGTCACACCACCTAGAGTAGAAATGAGAAAAAAAATGCTTGCTTGCTAATTTGACAATGCAGCAAGATTATAGCTAGATGTATTGATTTAACAGTCTAATGCAAATTATTAGAATGTATGAAGGAAATAGTTCATTAAAAATGCGACTAAGCAAGGTCAGGCTACATTCCTGAAAGCCACCATTAAATGCTTCTGCATGGAAGACTGCGTAGGGCAATTTGGTTGCGAAGTGAAAAATAAATCATCTGGAAAATGAATGTTCAGTAGATTTTCGCAGAGATGTAGCTGAATCACCCCTCACCCAGACAGGCTGCTGCGCCCACCATGGCGTACAGGCCCGGCGTGATGCAGTCTGCCCCTGGAGAGCACCAGCCTCTGAAAATGTCCCGTTCGTGGTTGTGTACGGCTAGCTGCTCCATGCCCACTCCAAGAAGTCTGCCTGCTATGGCCCCCACCGCCATACTAGGGATGAATAAACCAGATGGCACCTGGAGAAAGAACAAGGAGCAAAACCGAATTAATAGATAAAGATGGCAGAGCTTACTTGATATTTTCACAAAGAGGTTATATTTTTTGTGAAGGTTTAAAGTATTTGGGGTAAATCAGAAGATTTTCTTTCTGTTTTATCAGTATGTTTTGGAGAGTTTGATAAGATATGGTATTGCAGCATGGGATGGAAACCTGACTGTCCAATCAAAACCAAAACTTGTCAACTTGTACATACTATTTAAAAAAAATAATAGGTTGGGAAGCGAAACGACTTAGACAGGAGATGTATGAGGTATCTGTTTTAAGACAACCTAAGAAAATTGTTGCCGATGACACATTTTACATGACAATTTTAACATGTTACCTTCAGGGAGACAGTTGAGGATTCTAATGTGCAAATCAAATCGCTACAAAAATTATTTTGTGCCAACTGTGATTAAATTATTCAATAGAGAAGTGCAAAAATGAGATGCCATATTGGTGTATACTGTAGCTTTTTAATATATTTTGGTTAGGAGCAATTTATTTTGTGTTATGTACTGTGCTATGCGAGTCTAATGTTGTGTACTGGCCATGCCATGGTTGTCCAAGATGGATTTCCCAGAAATGGGACAATAAAGTATATTCTATTCGATATGCATTCAGCACTTTGACAACTTCAAGACATTTTGAAGGTTTTATCGTGACTGGATTGAATCAATACCCAAATTTTGCCTTTCGTTTGATGCCGACCTCTGGTACCTCATATTAATAATATGGCACATAATACATAAACCGTCTCAGATGATGAAACCAAAGAAAAGTAACTAATAATAATAATAATAATGTAATTGTTAGGTCCAAATATATTTGGAATACATGTAGAGGAATATATCGGTGTAGGTATTGTTAATAAAATTGTGAAGTTATTAACTATAAATCGCTTTCATTAATTGCAATAAAGCTGAAATAAATTAAAATATAAATATTAGATAAATAAAATATAAATATTAGATTAAAACACACACACACACACATATATTATTTTTCCCTCATTAAAAAGGCTGAAATGGGCATAATAATTGCTCAGTTTCCAAGTTAAAAAAGCCCACCAAACCAACATTTGGGAAGCCATTTTGTTGTCACATGACAATTTCCAAAATTATATTGTACCATGGTAAATTTTTGGAGTTATTATATAAACCATTATATTAACTCCTTTTGTGGTTTTATTCTCAGAACTGCCCCGATATTTTGTTTTGCCTTCAAAAACGCATCTAGGTCGGTTACCTTCATGCCAAATGTAGCCACAGTGATGAACATCTTAAAGACCAGTGCAAGAGCTAGCTGCCACATAGCTGTATAGAGTTTTGGCCCTGCCAGCCGAGCCCCCAGACCATTAGCGGCAGTGGCATTAACACTTCCAGATGTGCTTCCACTGTTGCCGGTGTAGTCGCAGAGTTTTGATGAGTCCAGCAGACCACAGTCATTAAACAGCTCAGAGATCAGTTCGCTGCTGCTCATCCGAGTGTACTCGATTGGGAATGCCAGCAACGCTGTGAGCAGGGTGACCACCAGAACCTCAATGACAGGATAGTGGCCAAGGCGGGTGTTCTTACGGAGACGGCACCAAGCAATATTAGCATGAATAAAGAAAGCCCCCCAAAGGCCACCGAAGATGCCCAGAAGCACAAAAGGTATGAGTTCTAGAAGATGCCAGGGAGTGTGGAACTCCACGTAGAAAAGGACCAATCGGCTGTTGCCGAAAGGATTAATGGAGCGAAGGGTGAATGCTGCAACCAGAGCAGCGAAGAACGAACGCCACAGAGTCTTCAGAGGGAAGTAGTAGCTGACCTGAAATAGAAATGCATGAGAAATATGGTCACTGTCAGATGTTAAAACAACATTCAGCAGATGTTTTCACAGTTTATTTATGATTCAGCATACACTACTGTTAAAAAGGTTTGGGGTCAGTAAAAAGTCAGTACAAAATTAACACTTACTCGTTAAAGGACACATTAAATGGATCAAAAGTGACATTGAGGGCATAAGGCTGCCCTACTGAACTTTATATTCAAAGAATCCTGAAAAAAAATGGATCACAGTTTCTGCAAACATATTAAGCAGCACAACTGTTTTCAACTGTGATAAAACTTTCTTGAGCACCAAATCAGTGTATTAGAATGATTTCTGAAGGATCGTGTGACACTGGTGACTGGAGTAATGGCTGCTGAAAACTACATTTTAAAATGTATTAAAATGGAAAACAGTTACTTTTAATTATAATAATATTAAACAATATTATTGTTTTTACTGTATTTTTTAAATAAATACAGCCTTGGTAAGCATAAAAATACTTATTATTATTTTTTAAAAAATTAAATAAAAATAAAACTTACCAACACCAAACCTTTTTAATGGTAATGTATATGTGAATCTTTTGTTTTATCCAGCTGTATTTATTCAGTGCAACGTATGACATCCAAGTGAAAAAATATAACAGCAACAACCAAAAAAAAAACAAAACAGAATCAGCAGGATAAAGGATCACCCCTTGTGTCAGTATTTTGTTGAACCACCTTTTGCTTTAATTACAGCCTTTAGTCTGTTGGGATATGTGTCTACTAACTTTTCACATCTAGTCTTTGCAATATTTCCCCACTCTTCTTTGCAGAACTGCTCAAGTTCATGTAAATTTGATGGCGAGCGTTTGTGGACTTCAAGTTATTCCACAGATTTTCAAAGGGGTTTAAGTCTGGGCTCTGACTAGGCCATGCAAGGACATTCACCTTTTTCTCCTTCAACCACTCTGTGGTCAGTTTTGCTGTGTGCTTTGGGTCATTGCCATGTTGAAAGGTAAACCTTCTTCCCATTGTGAATGCTGCAACCAGAGCAGCGAAGAACGAACGCCACAGAGTCTTCAGAGGGAAGTAGTAGCTGACCTGAAATAGAAATGCATGAGAAATATGGTCACTGTCAGATGTTAAAACAACATTCAGCAGATGTTTTCACAGTTTATTTATGATTCAGCATACACTACTGTTAAAAAGGTTTGGGGTCAGTAAAAAGTCAGTACAAAATTAACACTTACTCGTTAAAGGACACATTAAATGGATCAAAAGTGACATTGAGGGCATAAGGCTGCCCTACTGAACTTTATATTCAAAGAATCCTGAAAAAAAATGGATCACAGTTTCTGCAAACATATTAAGCAGCACAACTGTTTTCAACTGTGATAAAACTTTCTTGAGCACCAAATCAGTGTATTAGAATGATTTCTGAAGGATCGTGTGACACTGGTGACTGGAGTAATGGCTGCTGAAAACTACATTTTAAAATGTATTAAAATGGAAAACAGTTACTTTTAATTATAATAATATTAAACAATATTATTGTTTTTACTGTATTTTTTAAATAAATACAGCCTTGGTAAGCATAAAAATACTTATTATTATTTTTTAAAAAATTAAATAAAAATAAAACTTACCAACACCAAACCTTTTTAATGGTAATGTATATGTGAATCTTTTGTTTTATCCAGCTGTATTTATTCAGTGCAACGTATGACATCCAAGTGAAAAAATATAACAGCAACAACCAAAAAAAAAACAAAACAGAATCAGCAGGATAAAGGATCACCCCTTGTGTCAGTATTTTGTTGAACCACCTTTTGCTTTAATTACAGCCTTTAGTCTGTTGGGATATGTGTCTACTAACTTTTCACATCTAGTCTTTGCAATATTTCCCCACTCTTCTTTGCAGAACTGCTCAAGTTCATGTAAATTTGATGGCGAGCGTTTGTGGACTTCAAGTTATTCCACAGATTTTCAAAGGGGTTTAAGTCTGGGCTCTGACTAGGCCATGCAAGGACATTCACCTTTTTCTCCTTCAACCACTCTGTGGTCAGTTTTGCTGTGTGCTTTGGGTCATTGCCATGTTGAAAGGTAAACCTTCTTCCCATTGACAACTTTCTGGCAGAGGGTAGCAGATTTTCCAATCCCTTTTGCCCAATCCATTTTTCCTTCTATCCTGACAAGTGCTCCAGTGCCTGCTGCAGAGAAACACCCCCATAACAGGACATTACCCCCTCCATGCTTCACTGTAGGAATGCTGTTATTTGGATAGCCTCTCTGACCAGTTTCCTCCTGGCTCTTTCATCCAGTTTGGAACGACATCCTGATGCAGGGAGGGTCTGTGTTGTACCACATACCTTCCAATTCTTAATAACAGACTTCACTGTGCTTCTAGGCATTGATAAAGCCTTTGAATTTTTTTTTGTATTCATCTCCTGACTTGTGCCGGTCCACAACTTTATCCCAGAGATCTTTTGACAGTGCCTTGCCACCCATAGTTGCTAGTTTGCTTCAGTTGCACTAGCAAGGACTGAAATGCTCCAGGAAAGCTCTTTTCATGCTGAGTTAATCAAAATGACCACAGCTGATCACAGTTAAAAGTCAAATGACTTTGTGTGCCATTGAGAAGGTGATTAGCTGCACATGATTGAGTTTACAAATCATTTATAGGATGGGGCGGGTGATCCTTTTTCCAACACAGTGAATCTGGTTTTTTATTTTTTTTCTGACACGCTGCTGTTATATCTTTTACTTGGATGTTATAAGTTGCACTGAGTAAATACAGCTGGATAAAACAAAAACTGTGTCCGCAACAAAAAGCAACACAATGTGATTATTTTAAAGGGGGGTGATTATTTTCTATACCAACATTATCATGAAATAACCCCCTCAAAATGATCCCTGATCCCATCTGGGTTTATTTTGAGTTTACTTAGCTGACTGTTTAATAACCTTTCCAAAAGGAAAAAGGAAAACACGAGAAACATACAATTCAGAAATATACGAGACTCAATGTTTATGACAGGACTACAGAAATATAAGACGCTTACCTCTTCCAAACTGAAAAGCACCCCTCCAATAGGAGCACCAAACGCTACAGACACTCCCACTGCAGATGCTGCAGACAACACCTAATACACAAACAAAAATGTATATTTACTCATTTACATTTCATTGCATTCTTATTTCCCAAGTAAAATAAAATAAATGATTCACCTATTCACATTCACCATCCTAAATTCATGAACAATGAATTATACATCAGCCTAGATAGTCTAGAAAAAGCCTTGTCTGTTTGCCATTTCGATTACCAAATCGGCACTGGCAACTTCCAGCACATCAGTTAACAGAGACCAAGCCAAGAGGCTTATATCAATGTATTACATTACAAGTTTTGATCCAAGACGCAAAATACTTTGTTACTTTTCCATCAGTCTATCCCACACTCCCCTCTCCCTTATCTCTCCATCACTCCTCTCTTTATCTCCCGCCCCAGTTCCTCTCACCTCTCGTCTCTTGGCCTCATTTCGACGGTATTTGGTGAAGAAATGGCATAGGATGTTTGCGCAGCAGCAGGCTACATGAACCAGCGGACCCTCTTTCCCAAGACTGAGGCCAGACGAGACGGCCAGCACCAGTGTGATGGTCTTTATGATCAAAGTCCACTTCCCCAGGTAACCCCGAATTATAAAGCCACTCAGGATGGTCTTAATCTGCAAGAATTAAAGACTGGTAAGTCAGGATTCAAAATTATTCACAAAAACTGGCCATTTTCCAGACCACAAGTTGAAGAATGTTCTTTTTATTCACTTAAGCAGTTATTCTTGGCATATAAACATGTCTTAATGGACGGTTTTAAAAACAGCCATTAAAAATGTCCTTAAATCTCTTCTGACAACTCCTCCACATGAATTTAGATCAGTAGTACAACAATCGAACATGGGGTTTTGTCAGACAGACAGCATGACTTATGTCAGAAAGCCCTTCATTGTTCTCTCTGCCAAGGTTAGAAAGCAGAAGCAATTGTGGTTGAACATCTGAAAACAGTGCAGAAAATTGTGGAACTGTTGAAAACTGTGCAATATACAGATATAATCTCTATCCAACTGCTTGTCTCCATTCACTATCTCACTTTACTCAGACAGTTTGAAATAAAACTGAAGAAAGAGTTTGAGGTATAAAGTGGCTACTACTTAACAGGGGGGTGTTTTTGAAGTCACGTATAATGTGAAGCTGAAGTGACAAAACAGAAAAGTCCTAGAATGAGTGGTTTGTTGGGAAAAGAGCTTGAATGTGTGGAAAGATACATGACGCATTGTGTGTGTGAGCGTTCACCTCTGGTATTCCTGAACCGCAAGCATAAGGGGCGAAGGCTCTCACAAGAATCACAGCCAGGAAGGCGAAGAGAAGGGCCCAGCTCACATACATGAAATGATTCAGCACATTTACCCTGCCATGCTGCAGGACACACACAGGATACAAGTGAAACAAAAGGATCTTATACACCGTCACCCCCTACAGGACATATCCATAGTTAGAGGCCACAATTGTTTTTACATACCACATACTATTTACTCACATCCTGAAGTCTATGAAACTTGATTCATAATTTTGAGTCTAAAAAATAATAAAGAAATGAATACTGGTAGATTTGAGGAGTTGTACATCCTAATTAAGGCTTGAACCTCCCTCCCCAATGATGTGTTGGTTGAAAAGTCTTTTAAATAATGCCTCAAATCTCAAGAGATAGCATCCTAAAAAATTATCTACAGAAATTACTTTTTAAAAAAAGGCTGCTAAATTTCACGATATGTGAATAAATGTTTAAATTCAAAGAACATATGCTGCCAGGTTTTTTTTTTTTTTTTAGTACAAATATTTATTTTTTGAATTTTAATATAATTTTGAGCAAAAATATAAGTAAATCCAAGATTAAAATGCGTGTTTTATTGTCATTTCTTCAAAAAAAGAATATTGTAGCTTTCTCTTCATACCACAAGGGGGTGATATACACTACCATACAGAAGTTTGGGGTCAGTCAGATATTTGAAAATATAAGGGACACATTAAATTGATCAAAAGTGACAGCAAAGACATTTGTAATTATATAAATGATTTTATTTCAAATAAATGTATATTGAAAAAAGCATCACTGTTTCCACAAAATTAAACTGCACGACTGTTTTTAACATTGATAAGACGAAAAGTTTGTTGAGCACCAAATAAGCAGCTTAGAATGGTTTCTGAAGGATCATGTGACACTACTGGAGTTTTTAAATCAGTGATGCATTACTTTATATATATATATATATAAAATTTAAATAGTGTTCATATCGATATCGGAATTATATTGTATCGACCGAAATTAAGAAATATATCGTGATATAAATTTTGGCCATATCGTCCAGCCCTAATATATATATATATATAAAATATATTAAATTTCAATATTCAAGTTTTACTATATTTTTGAACAAATAAGTTAATCACCAACACCAGTGACAAGCAAAGAACTGTGAAGAGAGGCACTTGGAACTCATTTCATTTAGCCTTCGCAGAACACTTTGTCATACATTTATTTGGAAATCTTTGAGCTAAACAGGCCTGTAAATCTTGGATTCCACTAAATTGGAAACACTTATTACAATAATCAGACAGAATATAAAAAGGAAACATACATCTGTCCTTCATCTGTCAACATGTCAGTAACAATGTGTTGTTTTACGAAAACAACAACCACAAATATTTGCACTTTCTCATGTCACTGGAAAAATTTATGCAAAATTTGATTCAAAGCCATAAACCACAACATAATGATGAAATGATTACACGTGTAATATTCTCCTCTTGTTATTGTACTCTTGCACTGGTAACATAGATCTCTGTCACGCAACGTGCCTGAACCCACCTCACTGACTCCATCCATGAGTTCTGCCCAGCTTTTCCACTGGGGACACTTGTCTCTTTCCTGGAAAGTGGTCTCATTGGACGCCCAGCAGCAGTGCTCGTGATTAAACCAGAACCCGTTCAGGCACACACCCTCTTTAAGGTCCGTCATCCAATGGGCAGCAATGTCTATACCTCCAGCCAAGGCCCCTGGTGAGAGGTGAGAAGGGACACAAAAAACCTTCAATTCACATCATACACAATCACTACTTTTTACATTTTCTAAAGGGAATGTGAGTGGTGTTTGTCCAATGCAAACTATCCATCACAATGCTAGGGAATTGTGGGAGTTTGCCAGAGCGTTGCTATGTGGTTGTACAGTGCCGTTTTTAGCAGCCTGCTCAGTGGTTGCTTACTGGCCCAAGCTCATCCTCAAGTTTATATGATATTCTGGCTGCTAGATATGACACTAGTACCTTTCTTCAATGCAAGTTTATGAGATTTTTCCATTTTTTTGTTGTCCACCAGGCTAAAATCATAGATCTGACAGCGAAGAAAAGTAATAGCACATCTCGTCAACATCTGAAGTATCATTTTGCTGTGTGATGTGTTGTGTACTTAGGAGCAAGAATATGAATTTATTTTATATGGAAGGCCATTTCTGACACAAACACACAAAAAATATATATATATATATATATATATATATATATATATATATATAAGTAATGCATCACTGATTTAAAAACTCCAGTAGTGTCACATGATCCTTCAGAAACCATTCTAAGCTGCTTATTTGGTGCTCAACAAACTTTTCGTCTTATCAATGTTAAAAACAGTTGTGCAGTTTAATTTTGTGGAAACAGTCATGCTTTTTTTCAATATACATTTATTTGAAATAAAACAATTTATATAATTAGAAATGTCTCTTGCTTCTCATTTTCCTCTTGACAATACCCCATAGATTCTCTATGGGGTTCAGGTCTGGTGAGTTTGCTGTCCAGTCAAGCACACCAACACCATGGTCATTTAACCAACTTTTGGTGCTTTTGACAGTGTGGGCAGGTGCCAAATCCTGCTGGAAAATGAAATCAGCATCTTCAAAAAGCTGGTCAGCAGAAGGAAGCATGAAGTGCTCCAAAATTTCTTGGTAAACGGGTGCAGTGACGTTGGTTTTCAAAAAACACAATGGACCAACACCAGCAGATGACATTGCACCCCAAATCATCACAGACTGTGGAAACTTAACACGGGACTTCAAGCAACTTGGGCTATGAGCTTCTCCACCCTTCCTCCAGACTCTAGGACCTTGATTTCCAAATGAAATACAAAACTTGCTCTCATCTGAAAAGAAGACTTTGGACCACTGGGCAACAGTCCAGTTCTACTTCTCTTTATCCCAGGTAAGAGGCCTCTGACATTGTCTGTGGTTCAGGAGTGGCTTAACAAGAGGAATACGACAACTGTAGCCAAATTCCTTGACACGTCTGTGTGTGGTGGCTCTTGATGCCTTGACCCCAGCCTCAGTCCATTCATGTTGAAGTTCACTCAAATTCTTGAATCGATTTGACAATCCTCATAAGGCTGCGGTTCTCTCGGTTGGTTGTGCATCTTTTTCTTACACACTTTCTCCTTCCACTCAACTTTCTGTTAACATGCTTGGATACAGCACTCTGTGAACAGCCAGCTTCTTTGGCAATGAATGTTTGTGGCTTACCCTCCTTGTGAAGGGTATCAATGATTGTCTTCTGGACAACTGTCAGATCAGCAGTCTTCCCCATGATTGTGTAGCCTAGTGAACTAAACTGAGAGACCATTTTGAAGGCTCAGGAAACCTTTGCAGGTGTTGAGTTGATTAGCATGTCACCATATTCTAATTTGTTGAGATAGTGAATTGGTGGGTTTTTGTTAAATGTGAGCCAAAATCATCACAATTAAAAGAACCAAAGACTTAAACTACTTCAGTCTGTGTGCATTGAATTTATTTAATACACAAGTTTCACAATTTGAGCTGAATTACTGAAATAAATGAACTTTTCCACGACATTCTACTTTATTGAGATGCACCTGTATAAGACAGTAATGCAGTTGGGATTAAGGTGCAGCCTGTGCTATCAGAATCTTAGCCTGAGCAGAAATGAAAAAGAAATACAAGGAATAGCTCATGTCACTGCAAACCTATAGGACGTCTTTCTTTCGAGAAGCACAAGTGAAAATATTTTGCAGAACGTTTAAGCTACTCTTTTCCATACCAAGGAGGGGAGACTACTGCTAAGCTCCAAAAATTGCAAAACAAAAAAATGACAAACAATAAATAAATAAATAAATAAAATGACAAAAAAAATAAATGATCTTTTTAGGAAAAAAGTTGCAAAAAAGGCCCACACACTATGAAGGTGAAAAAAGACACAAAAAATTTGTTTGAGGAACAGCAAACATTCTGGTCACAACAGAAACTTAAACTTTTTTTGGTTGTCTTTTTTCATGTTTGAATGTCTAAAATAAATCATACTCAAATATGAGAAAATAAATATGAGAAAATAAACTGAGAATTGTGAGATGCAAACATGGAAAGTGTGAGGAAAAAAAGTTAACTTCTTATTTTATATCAACTTTTTATCTCATAATACATTTTTTCTTGCAATTTGGAGTTATTTCTACATTAATACTTAGAATTGCGAGAAAAAAAAAGTATGAATTGTGAGATAAACAGTCACAATTATCTTTTTTTTTTATCCCATGCATGGCAGATAAAAAAAAATGAATGGATCATTACTTGATTATCCATACATCTTTTTTTTTAATACTCAAAAAAATGTTTTTGTTAAAATGTGAGTCAGTATCAAAAATGATACAATAGGCTTTAGAGGAGCTTTTATTTGTATATCTCTCAACCATCATCATCTTGCCAGACATTTTGTTTTGCCCCCAACAATAAAAACTACAGAGCTTTGATAACTTAAGCATTTAAATATCATCTTGCTAAGCCATATTATTGGGATGTTTATATTAGTGCTGGGCGGTATACCGGTTCATACTGAATACCGGTCTTTATTTTTGTTATGATATGAATTTTTTAAATACCGCAAAAATATGTATGTCGCTTAAACAACGTTCGGAACGGGACACTGTTTGAAAGGGGTTCCTTTTCACTGTTGCACTGTGGTGAGGGAACAGCTGTATGTGTTACTAAGCGTGAAAGTTCCGAAACTGAAGCTGTGGAACTAATAGAACGTGATGACACAAAAGAACTAATTCACAATATCCACATTGATCGCCACAAATATCCACCGCCCCCTGCCATCAGCTCCCGCATCTCACACACACGAGCGTGACTTTAGCACTAGATTTAGTAGCTTTCAGACCCTTTTAGCGGCTTTTTTCCATAGAATATTCATACTGACAAACCTAGCGACTTTTTTGGATAAACCTTAGCTATGGTTCAGCTGGAAGATTTCGGCTGGCCTGTGAACGCAAGGCCTGACTTTCCCGGAGAAGTGTCACCTCTCTCGGCGTCTGTTCTGTGCAGTGAGCGGCAGAGAAGCAGCGCATTCAGTTGCAGCAGACTCGACAATAAACGAGTACAAAACAGCATTTCCTAGCACCTGTCGCTTACTGATTGTTTGGAATTATAAATATTTGCGTAGTTCGTCTGTTAATATCACATGCACTTAAGAACCAAAGACTTAAACTACTTCAGTCTGTGTGCATTGAATTTATTTAATACACAAGTTTCACAATTTGAGCTGAATTACTGAAATAAATGAACTTTTCCACGACATTCTACTTTATTGAGATGCACCTGTATAAGACAGTAATGCAGTTGGGATTAAGGTGCAGCCTGTGCTATCAGAATCTTAGCCTGAGCAGAAATGAAAAAGAAATACAAGGAATAGCTCATGTCACTGCAAACCTATAGGACGTCTTTCTTTCGAGAAGCACAAGTGAAAATATTTTGCAGAACGTTTAAGCTACTCTTTTCCATACCAAGGAGGGGAGACTACTGCTAAGCTCCAAAAATTGCAAAACAAAAAAATGACAAACAATAAATAAATAAATAAATAAAATGACAAAAAAAATAAATGATCTTTTTAGGAAAAAAGTTGCAAAAAAGGCCCACACACTATGAAGGTGAAAAAAGACACAAAAAATTTGTTTGAGGAACAGCAAACATTCTGGTCACAACAGAAACTTAAACTTTTTTTGGTTGTCTTTTTTCATGTTTGAATGTCTAAAATAAATCATACTCAAATATGAGAAAATAAATATGAGAAAATAAACTGAGAATTGTGAGATGCAAACATGGAAAGTGTGAGGAAAAAAAGTTAACTTCTTATTTTATATCAACTTTTTATCTCATAATACATTTTTTCTTGCAATTTGGAGTTATTTCTACATTAATACTTAGAATTGCGAGAAAAAAAAAGTATGAATTGTGAGATAAACAGTCACAATTATCTTTTTTTTTTATCCCATGCATGGCAGATAAAAAAAAATGAATGGATCATTACTTGATTATCCATACATCTTTTTTTTTAATACTCAAAAAAATGTTTTTGTTAAAATGTGAGTCAGTATCAAAAATGATACAATAGGCTTTAGAGGAGCTTTTATTTGTATATCTCTCAACCATCATCATCTTGCCAGACATTTTGTTTTGCCCCCAACAATAAAAACTACAGAGCTTTGATAACTTAAGCATTTAAATATCATCTTGCTAAGCCATATTATTGGGATGTTTATATTAGTGCTGGGCGGTATACCGGTTCATACTGAATACCGGTCTTTATTTTTGTTATGATATGAATTTTTTAAATACCGCAAAAATATGTATGTCGCTTAAACAACGTTCGGAACGGGACACTGTTTGAAAGGGGTTCCTTTTCACTGTTGCACTGTGGTGAGGGAACAGCTGTATGTGTTACTAAGCGTGAAAGTTCCGAAACTGAAGCTGTGGAACTAATAGAACGTGATGACACAAAAGAACTAATTCACAATATCCACATTGATCGCCACAAATATCCACCGCCCCCTGCCATCAGCTCCCGCATCTCACACACACGAGCGTGACTTTAGCACTAGATTTAGTAGCTTTCAGACCCTTTTAGCGGCTTTTTTCCATAGAATATTCATACTGACAAACCTAGCGACTTTTTTGGATAAACCTTAGCTATGGTTCAGCTGGAAGATTTCGCCAGTGCTGTCCTGTGAACGCAAGGTCTGACTTTCCCGGAGAAGTGTCACCTCTCTCGGCGTCTGTTCTGTGCAGTGAGCGGCAGAGAAGCAGCGCATTCAGTTGCAGCAGACTCGACAATAAACGAGTACAAAACAGCATTTCCTAGCACCTGTCGATTACTGATTGTTTGGAATTATGCGTAGTTGCGTAGTTCGTCTGTTAATATCACATGCACTTTTTTGTTTTTTTTAGTTTGTTACTCAGACGCAGGCAGTTAAGACAAAAAGACAAAAAAGTAATATAGCTAAAACGACCGCATAGCCGCTCTTTAGTGTAGATCCATGTTGATTTTATCAGATGATGCCGAGATTATAAATGAGAGTGACTCCTGGTTAACATGTATTAAAAGGGGTCGTGTTTAGTCACTATTTAGTGTGGTATTTTTTGACAATATTCACTCATCATGACAGTAAAATAGGGCATTCTATGTCAATATACCGCAGTATTTTCTCTCTCAATCAGAAGAAAATATGGTTAACACCCGGTCATGCATGAAAAAAAATATACCGTCATGTACCGTGAAACCAGTATAATTTTGAAAAATACCGTGATATAAATTTTTAGTCATACCGCCCAGCACTAGTTTATATGCATTTTATGTAAATAGCCTGCTATACTGTTATAAAGATCTCACTGAGTTACATTACAAGCTATCAGATTTTCATCTTTTTGGCCATTTAAATATCAGCAACTGCACCAAATTGCATATTTTTGCTCAGTTTGGGCCTCTGACTAATTTTTTTTTTTTTTATTCCGAGGAGCTCAATATTCTCACTATATCATACGAACCATAAAAACCTCGTTAAAAAACACATATGCAGACTTTATTTAGATATCGGCTCATTCGAGTCATTCGTTCAGGAATCGGGCTACGCTGGTCACGCTGTTTGTTTCTGATTCACTGAAAAGAATCGGTTCATTCGAGTCATTCGTTCAGGAATCGGGCTACGCTGGTCGCGCTGTATGTTTAGATTGCCTAAAGACGGCTGATAAGATATCATTTGTTCATCAATCGCTCTACACTGTAGAGCCAATGGCGGTGTAAGTATTAGTATAAGTCGAGTAAGTGGTGCAGGAAACACTGTGTCAAGACTATTAAAATTCATAAGAACCGGTTTCTAACCTCCTGCAAAGTGAGGCTTCGGTCAACCACCTTTTGACTGGGCTTCTCTGAAATGATGATAGTAAAACTCACTCTGAGTTCAAACACTACCACTTCCTTTATCTTGCTATTCAAACCATCTTATATAAATAGGAAAAACACACCATCATCGTATAAGGACTTTGTTTTGAGTAGTTCCTCTTATTTTATTGACCAATTTTAAAGTTATCAGATAGTTGGTCAATTATTGCAGAGCTAGAGCAATAATGTGACCCAGTTATTGATGTCCTCTGTTTGATCAGCTGAAGTAGCTGATAACACTTTTCCCTTTGGATGTTTTACCTCATCTAAACACATATTTATCCTAGTTATCTGTCTCGACACTAATGCTAATTCATTCTTTTGAATGATTCGATCAGTCCAAGTGATTCAGTTGGCTGGATCCGAACAAACAAAAGTTTGATACATACCTCTATGGGTCTTTGCGTAGTAGTGGTCGCTATTAGTTAGTAGTGGACTTTACTGAGGCACCAAATCTTGTGATCTGGATTTTAAAGTGCCTCGGTTAAGCAATGCCGACGTAATCTTCCGTCAACTGGTGCGTCACAGTTACCCGGCAAAGCATCTCACAACCTCTTCAGCACGGATGCCTTCAGACTGATCGCACAGACCTTTCGCATGTGATAAAGGTGAAAGAGGAAGGTGTCCGTGTACCGATGCATCGCTGAGGGTTTTTTAGTTCAATAACTGTTCCCTTTCCTCAAAAGCGTGAACGGCTGAACATCACGTGTTTGGAGGTCAATAGCGCCATTCAACGTCTTGGGGAGTTACTGAAAATAATTCAATTCATCCCAGCAGCATTCATAGTGACAGTGAATAGTAACAAAGTTCTTCCGAAAAACAATTTTAAGCATTTTTTAAGCATTTTTTCTACATTACATTTTCAGTTGTTGACCTCATATTAACTGAGAGACTACGTGGAAAATAATTTCAGAGCTACGTTGTAGAAAATATTAAATACTCTATATATATATACAGGTGCATCTCAATAAATTAGAATGTTGTGGAAAAGTTCATTTATTTCAGTAATTCAACTCAAATAGTGAAACTCGTGTATTAAATAAATTCGATGCATACAAATTGGTGGCTGACTAAATACTTTTTTGCCCCACTGTATATATAGGCCTACAGTGTTGTGGAGTATCTTTATTATTTAATTACAAAATAAATGTATCTGTTACTGAGAAAAAAAAATGTGTAATTAAATTACAATTACTTGTGAAAATGTTAACAATTACAAAGGGGGTTACATCTGAATATTTTCAGATTTAATTGATTTCTTTCCCAAAATGCATAGACAGCTCTAAAATATGAGACATCAATGTCTCAGGAGTTTAGGTCACAGAATAGGACATATGCTTATTCAAAAACTGTTTTATTTTCTATTTCGGTTGATTTATATGCTTTATTTTTTAATGTTAACTGTTTTTTCCAAGGCATTGTTAGATGCCAATGTTTCCTGACATATTTTCTGTGCAAAAATTTGATTTAAAAAACAGTATCTTTAAACTATATCTTATGATTTGAAATCTGTATTTAACCTCAGAACGATCTCAAAGTAAAAAGAGGTGCTAAAGTCTGATATTGTGGGGGCTGCGCTATAAAATTACATTTTTATAATCTTAATTCAAGTGGATTTTTGAGTATTTTGAAAGTCTGACAGTAATAAGTGTTGAGTACTACTGTAGGGTTAACCCTGCCTGGTTTAAATGTTTGAAAATGATTAACAGTTCATTAACACTTATTAGAAATTTAGAAAAGTAATCAAATGTAATCAGTTACATTACTTTAATAAAGTAATTTAAATCGTTACACTACTTATTACATTTTAAATAGGGTAACTTGTAATCTCTAACCTATTACATTTCCAAAGTAACTTTCCCAACACTGTATATATGTGTGTGTGTGTGTTTTTCAAATTTTTTTGAAGTTTTTCAAATTGATTCTTTTATTCAGCAAGGATGCAGGATATATTGATCAAAAGTGAGAGAAAAGACTATTGTAACAAAATGTAGCTTTGCCATCACAGGAATAAATTACATTTTAAAATATATTACAATAGAAACAATCTCACTTTTCAATGATAGTGTACATTAACCTTTCTGTATTAAGTCACTTGCAAGAAGAACATAAGAATACTTGCAAAAAGCATAAACAGCGATTAATCACTTAATCACTTTATTTCATTTTGTCACTCTTCAAGAGCATCAGCAGGACTGTTTGGTGTGTGTTATCACCCACAATACAGGCATAACATTGAGAGAGAACGAATGAAGGGGATGGTGGCAGCTGGAGCTGCGAACAAAATAAGTTGCAGGTTAGGTTAAGTCCATGTAGGGTAGACATAAATTAAACCACCATCCATTATCACTAAACCAGGAATTTATACCTAGTTTAATTGCGGATTTGAAGTATTGTCTGCTAAATAGCCACTTCCTGCAATTCAAAAAGCACTGCACCGTACATTCGTTTCCTATTCTAAATATATAAGTCTATCATAATATATCTGAGTAAATACATTTCTGAATCTTGAGCACAGCCTGGCCAGTATGGAGAATCACACTTCAGTGCTATATTAGTTTTGCTACCTCACTAGATTCAAGCAAAGTTTTCTGCATGACCCCATCATTCCTGCAGGTCTTATTTTGTGTGGTGTGAAACCCAGAGTTGCAACAGGAAAGAACTACAGTACAACGCTTCATGAGGACAAAAGTGACAGATCATGCCTAAAGTGCTAAAGTGAGGAGCTCTGCGGGTGGAAGAACAAGTTATGAGCATCAACAGGCCAATGAAACACAGGCAGAGATATAGACCTAAACATACACAAACACTCGTATGGTTAAGGCAGGTAGTTTCGAGCAGTCAGAATACATGACGGACATCCCAACAGGTATTTTATATTGGTTATGACTGTTATTGTACCATATCTGAACTCATTAAAGCTTGGACTGTTCACGTAATAACTGCCTGTCGGAAACTAAAAGAGAGTATAAGTGATCTTACTAAAATAAAAATACTGTGAAAACTTATGAAGTAAACAAACTTTCCAGTAGCATGCTAGATATTCATTACTTGGTGTATGAGAAGCTTGTAAAACTAGAGCAATATTTAGCTGTTTCCTGAGAAACCTGAATTATTTTTAACTTACGGTTGTAGAGGGTGATGATGTGTAGACAGTTCAACAGCTGTCTTTTGTATTCATGGATCCTCTTCACTTGGACATCAAACATGGAGTTTGGGTTGATTTTTACGTTGCATTGTTCTTCTAGAAGCACTGCAAATTTCATCTTATTTTCCTGCAAATGACAAAGCAACATAACACAATGCCCATCATTTTCATGTAGAATATGCGCTAAATTTCCCACTGAATGTGATTTTTTTTGTCTCACCTGTTTGACTTTGGCAATGTCTCGAATTAAAGCATCATCATCCACAAACTTCAAGAGGCTCTTCAGCTGGCACAGGTCGCGGATATAGTCCTCTCCAATTCTCTAATTTTTAACATAAGACAGGGGCTTTCAGTCTATACTGACTTAAATTTCAGTGTTTCTCAAGGCTTGGACTAAAATATGTATCAACTACGGTTATCATATTTTTTGAATGTTCCCCCAGTGTTTCCTACCTGTTTTGCTAACTTTTTTATCAGTAATGTTCCTTACCTCAGCGATAACCTCAGCCAGTCCAGGGTTACACATGACAAGCCAGCGACGAGGTGTGATACCATTGGTCTTGTTCTGAAACTTCTGTGGGTCCACATCATAGAAGTCCTTAAAACTGTACACAAAATCAACCCCAACAAATTAGATAGGACTATTTTAGAGCTGTACACATCTCTGAGTTATTCACCAGGGCTAAGGGCATTATATGAAATTATGGTAATGACAGACATATTATGTTGATATAAATAACGGCCTTTAAAAGTATTTGGGCGTTTAAGATGCAAATGTATGAATGTCATTGCTGTGGACAAGTATGCTTATGTTGTCTTTTCTTAAAATAAATGCTCATGTTCAAATTTTGGGCTTTTTTGAAAGAAATTATACTTTTGTTTGGCAAGAATGTATTAAAGTGATCAAAAGTGACAGAAAAGACATTTATAACATTACAAAATATTTATATTTTTAGGGTTTCCACAAAAATATTAAGCAGCACAACTGTTTTCAACATTGAAAATAATAAGAAATGTTTCTTGAGCGCCAAATTGTCATATTATAATGATTTCTGAAGGATCATGTTGCACAGAAGACTCGAGTAATGCCTGCTGAAAATTCAGCTTTGCTATCACAGTAATAAACTCTATTCTACTAAAATAGAATATATAAAAAAATTGAAAAATAGAAAATGTATTCAGTAGTAATAATATTTCGCAGTATAACTATTTTTACTGTATTTTTTATCAAATAAATGCAGCCTAGATGAGATATATTTTTAAGATGCATTAAAAATCTTACCATATGCATTTTGTATACATTTTTAAATGTGGCTTAAGTGTCCAAATACTTTTTTGGGCCACTGTGTTGTAATATAAAGCGTTAAGAGACATACACAGTGTCTTTAATAATGTCCGAGTGGATTTGTGCCACGCCATTGACTGCGTGAGAGCCAACGATGCAGAGATGAGCCATGTTGATCTTCTTCTGACCGCACTCCTCAATAAGAGACATGCGTCTCAAACGATCATGATCGCCAGGGTAGAGCGCAGAGATTCGCTGAGAAACAAAACAGAAAATGCAAGGTCAAAACAGAGTGCAACAGGCAAGAAGTACATGGGAAGTTGCTTTTCTTCATCTGCGATTTACTGGATGCTGAGCCATGTTGAGCAGAAGAGGTTGTTTATATAACCTCACTGTGCAGTTTACTCCTTATTGGGAGTGAACACAGTCCTTATGCAGTTACTGATATCCGAACCCCTTCAAAAAACATCAAATTCATTTTTTATCTACAAGTACATTTCAAATGCAATGTGCCATGAAGAGAACATCTGTTCCCAGACCTCCAGGTGACGTCGGTTAATCTCGTAGGTGATCTCTAGGTGACGGGGCAGAAGGTTTTGGAACAGGTCGACAGGCCAGCGTTCCAGAGCTTCTGGTAACACAGTGTGATTAGTATATGCGCAAGTACGCACAGTGATGTCCCAAGCCTGAGAAGAAAGAAAATGGCAGACAAAATGACAGTGTAGGCAGAGTGAGAGAAAAATACACAACATAGAATACAACATTATGGTGTTGGTCCATGTGGGTAAAATTAAACAGAAACGTTTCACTTTTCAAGTCGTCATAGTTTGGTAAACTTCTACAGTGGTGAAAGGAAACTACAACAAATATATTTTTGCATTCCTACAAGAGAAAAATGTATTGAGAGATTGATTATGGTGGTCAAAAGACAGAAAGATGTCAAATTTGTCGTCACTCCCTCAGCAGCTTTAACTAGTTTTCTAAAAAGTAATGTCAAGGTAATATAACACAAAATATATATAAATGTTATAAATGTACATTAAATGCAAAAATTTTTATATAAAAAAATAGATTTAAAATTTTAATAACTGTTTAAACTTGTCATCACAATCAGTAAAAAGGCTCCATTCTAGAAATCAGCAAATTTAAACTTTATGTCCTTATATTACCCATATGAATCAATTTAATAGTCCTACAGCTTGACTGCATGTCCTTTTTTGAGCATGATAAATGACAAGATGACAAGAAATTTCCAGCTTACCGTGTCCCAGGACAGTTTCTCATCATCCATCAGTATTCTCATCAGTTCAGGGATGGCCAGTGCAGGATGAGTGTCATTCAGCTGTATAGCAACCTGAACAAAACAGACAAAGGAAGGACCTCTGTAACAGTTTTTAAATGTAAAATTCCTTCATTGGTACTAATGTTGATTAGACCAATGCATTAAAGGAGTCATATGACGTTGCTAAAAAGAACATTATTTTGTGTATTTGGTGTAATGAAATGTGTTTATGCGGTTTAAGGTTACAAATTTTTTCCACATACAGTACATTATTGTTTCTCCTCAATGCCCCACCTTTCTAAAACGCATTGATTTTTACAAAGTTCATTGGTCTGAAAAGCGAGGTGTGCTCTGATTAGCCAGCTATCCAGTGCATTGTGATTGGCCAAATACCTCAAGTGTGTGACGGAAATGTTACGCCCCTTGCCATACTGTGATGCCCTGTCCCGGTGCGATGAGACAAAAACAATAAAACCCATTATAAACGAGGCATTTGTTGCATCCAGTGGGGACACAATTACTGATTATAATGACTTATACTGTGTTTTAATGCGTTGCGTTGCATCGCGCCACGTAAACAAGAAATGACAAACAACAAGCGCTACTCTACACTGCTCAAAACTCGCATTTGAATAGTCAGTGGCAAATTCTTTAATTATGAAAACGTACTTACAGGCTGTGAGTCAGAACAGCCGACATTGTAGGCTACTCTCCCAGGTTGAGGAAACAGTCCTCCGTAAAATGCGTTGCGCACACACAAATATTTGGGTTGTACTGTTCTGGAACAGTGTTGTAAATACAACTTAACCACTGATTTCTAGTTGTGTCCTCTTTCGGAAGGCCAAA